AAAAATCCTACAGTTTACTAGACTTATCTATATTAAGTACATACAACTTTAAAACATAAAAAAAATTAAGTTATGTGCAAGTTTGCAACATATTTGCTCATTCAATGAGAGAACATATTGAAAACTTGTTTGTATTTCACAAGGACAAGATTTGTTGGTAAAAATGATACTCCTGCTCATCTGTCTTTCGACAGGTTTTAAATATTTTGCATCAGCTACAAGTTTACAACATGTACCACGAACAGGGGTGACTATGAACAGCAGGTTGAAAATGAACATCAGTATCAAGTTGCACAAAGGTGAAGAAACACACACAATAGAGCTATATAATGTGTTACTTTGATTCAATTGCATAACTGAGCCAGTAAAACATCTTCAAGAAAAAAAAAAGAATCTGGTGGTGAAGGCACTGTAATGGTTCTTAACAAATTTATTTTAGATATTTTAATAACAACCAAAGTTTAGGCAAAAATCCATTTTTTTTCCAGTTGATCATGCCGATAACTTTTCCAGAAAGCTGGACTGTATAATGTTCTGATAAAAAAAATGTAGTGATTAGTCAAACAGTTTTCTTCAATGATGCAAAAATATTTAAAAAGTGTTCATAGTCATTCTGATTGACAATAACTTAGAAGGTTTAACTATATAACTAGTTTCCAACATTTATATTGTCTTACCAACTTTGAATAACTCAGTTGTCATAATAATTTTTATAGTGATTTTTTTTTAGTCAAAAATATTCTAAACATGTTTTTAATTTAGTGCAATTAATTAACATCATTTATAATTGATGGAGTCCCTTTTTGCACTATAGGTAAAATGTGCTAGTAGAATAGGAGTAAAACATTTGGCTCGCAATCAGAAGGTTGGGGTTCAAATTATCTCTGCTGAAATTACTGCGCTCAATCTATTTCTTCGAACAGTGCATTTGTGTAAAAATTTTAGTTGTTAATGTTGCTTGTTAGTAAAAATGGTAATGTTAAGGATTGAGACAGAATATTTTTAAAAAATGAGTTGCTCCCTTGACTGAAGTGATCATTGGAGCAATAGGGAGGTGAGTTTATGAAATTAAAAAAAAATTATTATACTCATATAGTTATTTTGGTATTTTGGTATATAAATTTGGTATATAAATTTGGTATATAAATTTGGTATTTTGATCGGTTTTTAAAAAAACCCAAAAAACCTATAAAACCCAAAAAAAACCCAATAAAACCCAAAAAAACCCATTTGGGTTGGGTTTTTTTTAAAAAACCCTGGGTTTTTTCCAATCCTGGTATATATATGTATATATATATACTTATATATATATATATATACTTATATATATACATATATATATATATATATATATATATATATATATATATATATATATATATATATATATATATATATATATATATGTATATATATATATATATATATATATATATATATATATATATATATATATATATATATAAGTATATATATATATATATATATATAAGTATATATATATATATATACATATATATACATATATATATATATATATATAATATATATAAGTATATATATATATATATATATATATATATATATATATATATATATATATATATATATAAGTATATATTATATATATATATATATATATATATATATATATATATATATATATATATATATATATATATAAGTATATATATATATATATATATATATATATAAGTATATATATATATATATATATATATATATATATAAGTATATATATATATATATATATAAGTATATATATATATATATATATATATATATATATATATATATGTATATATATATATGTATATATATATATATATATATATATATATATATATTATATATATATATATATATATATATATATATATATATGTATATATATATATATATATATATATATTATATATATATATATATATATATATATATATATATATATATATATATATATATATATCCTTATAGTGTAGTCGAAAGAGACATTTATGGTAAAAAAAATCTCTTTAGACTACAATTTTTATTACATTGTCTCTTAAGTTGTATTTAATTGTCATCGAAATGTCAAAGCAATTAAATTAATGTGGAAGTACATTAAATTTTATTGTTTTTTAAAAAAATGGCAATAATAATGACAAGAAAGTTTTTTTTAATTAGTGGTGTTTTTGTTTTTGTTTTATTAAAAAAACATTTTTAAAACATGCGTAAGTGTTGCTACATCAACTATCTTATGCCTACATCAACTATCTTATGCCTGCTGTTTCAAGGGAGTGTTGCTACATCGACTATCTTATAGCCTGACTCGCAACGGAGTGCTGCTACATCGACTGACAAATAGCCTGACTCGCAAGGGAGTGCTGCTACATCGACTGAGGGTTTGGTTTGGGCAGGCAGTCTATCATTTTAAAAAAAAATTTTTTTTGAAGTTTTTTAACATTTTCTGGTCAGGCTTATTAACGCGCTCTTTAAAACAACAGTTCATGGGAAAAACTTTGCGACTACTATGCAAGACTATATATATATATATATATATATATATATATATATATATATATATATATATATATATATATATATATATATATATACCATACATATATAAATATATCTATTTAAACAATTTTAAAAATGTATTCTACAAATAGAGTGCTCAATGTTCTTATAAGAACAGAACAATTATAGATTAGTAGAAAATCACTTAACAAAAATATTTTTTCATTTTACACCGTCTTTTAAATATTTTAACTGAAAGAATGGAAATTTAGGATTTCTTTTTTATTTAAGAAAGCATTATTGTGACCTTTTATAATTCTTTCTATATTTTTTGTGCAACTGTAGCTAACAAAAAATATGGAAAGAATTATAAAAGGTCACAATAATGCTTTCTTAAATAAAAAAGAAATCCTAAATGAAAAAACTACAGAAAATTGTAATTGTAAACAACAAAAAAATTGTCCAATGAGTGGACTTTGTTTATCAAAAAATGTGGTATATAAATGTGTTGTTTCCTCTAAACATGTACCTGATAAACAATATATTGGCATAACAGAGGGTGAATGGAAAAAACGTTTTGCCAATCATAATCTTTTAAAAATAAAAAGTATTCAAAAGACACCATGCTGTCAAAATATATATAGAAACTAAAAGATAAAAATATTTATGATTTTAAACTGAATTGGTCCATCCTTAAAACAGCGCCTGAATACAACAATATTTCCAAAAAATGCATTTTATGTCTACAAGAAAAATTTAAATAATTACACATGCAAACCAAGAATGTATGTTAAACAAAAAATCGGAATTGATTTCTAAATGCAGGCACGAAAATAAGTTTCTCCTCAAAAACTATAAAAAGAGGTGAGCTCAAATAATAGTTACATTAAATCCCCCCTTTTAAAAATATTTTTATAAAATAGCATAAGTAATTGTGCCTATAGCATAAGTAATTGTGTCTAAAGAATTCTTTTTATAATTAAAAAATTCCACAAATGTGTGAAAATTTGCAGTTGTTTAAACATTTGTGACTTCCTTTTTTGGTATAAATTGAAGTTTTATTAATTTGATCATTCATTTCTGACGAGTCTTTGTTGATGAAACACAGTGTCAAATAAAAAAAAATTTTTGTTAAGTGATTTTCTAAAAATTTATATATATATACATATATATATATATATATATATATATATATATATATATATATATATATATATATATATATATATATATATATATATATATATATATATATATATATATATATATATATATATATATATATATATATATTGATGATAGAAATATATATATATATATATTTATTGATGATAGAAATATATATTTATTGATGATAGAAATATATTTACATATATTTATTGATAAAACAGTGTTCAATAAAAAAAACTTTTGTTATATGATTTTCTACTAATTGATATATATATATATATATATATATATATATATATATATATATATATATATATATATATACATATATATATTTTATACTGAACTCTCTTAATCCTAAACTCTAAAAATTATTATACAACGTAACTGCGCCAAAAATTTATCATTCAAGGCCCCTGCACCGAAAAATAGCCTAATTGTGGTGCTTTTAGAGGTGAAGGGTTTAATTCTCTTGTGAGCCAAAATTTCTACCACTAGTTATCACATGGAAATTTTTAATTAAAGGTATTTGGGTAAGAAAGACTTTTCAATGTTTATGATATTAATAACTTGGTTTTGAATCAGATGAAGTATTTTGTATAATATTCTAACAAGTTATGGATCAATTGTTTGCAACTACACTAAACACGACAAGGAAGATTTTTTCTTGTTTAGCAGGAAAAAACTGTTGTTTAAATGTTCAAATAAGACATATGATGCAAGGAAGATCTCCTGTGCGAGTTATGGGATTAGGAAAGGGTAAATATTTTTGTTATTGAAAAATGCTAAAAAACTTTTTGAGAAGTATCAACCAAAAAACATTTTGAACATTTAAAAATATTATAACCATTTTCTATTTAGCTGTATCAAAGAAATCAAAAAATACTGGTGAGACAATAAGATCAAAAGTCAAGGTTTGAAAATATTTAAAAGTTTTTATTTATGCATATTTCTATATATATATATATATATATATATATATATATATATATATATATATATATATATATATATATATATATATATATATATATATATATATATATATATATAATATCAAATTTTTGCCTATTTAAACAATAAATTAAACTTTTAGCTATTTTGTGTAAAAGTTGTTAGCCTAAAGAATAAAATAAGCTAAAAAATTTTGAGTCTGGCTGAATAAGGGTGAACTTATTACTAAAAATGCCACTTAACTTGCGTTACGTGGAAAACTAGGCAAAAAAATTGCTTCAACTTTTAGGTCAGATTTTTGCGAATCAGTAAAGCGGTTTATATTATAAACTTTCACAAGATGTTAGGAATTCTATGCTAGTTTTAAAAATATATAAAATTTTATCATAGGTGACAGGGTAAGGAAAAAAACTGTTTTTTTTAAATATTATGTATCTAACTTACATTTCATCACTTACATTACCTTAGAGTTAGAGTTACGTAACAAAACAATCGAACTCATTCATTAAAAATAGTTAACATAGGTAATTTTAAAAAACTAGTGGCACTCTTCTTGAGTGATTTTTCATAACATTTATAAAAGTTATCAAATTGAAAACAATTTTACCGCAAGACCAAGAGCAACTTTGAAAAATTGTTTTAGTGTTACAACTTTTTAATACTAATTTGAGTCGTTTAAATATAAAAATCTTTGGTTTGTCGAAGTTTTTACTTACACTCCTTATGTTTATGCGTATTGTCTTGTTTTCATTAGGTTGAATTTTTAAAATGCTGCAAAATATTTACATTTAAATCTTTTGAAATATTTTTGAAGAAAAACTGCTATCACAGTTTAGAAGGGAGAGAGATTCAGGTATATGTGATCATTTGTGACAGGAGGGAAGAGGTTAAAAATTAATATATATAGGGTGACATGCTTTATGGATGACTAGTAATAGCATTTACAAACGATTTGTTTTACTAGAACAAAGGTAAATAAGGTTCTAACTGATTTTTTATATTAGGAGAATAGCAAATTAATTTTTTTCTTCCTATTGTCTAAATACAAATATTTAAATAATTCTTATTTTAATTTATTTATGTGTATTTATGTCAAATAAAGTAAGAATACATAAACAAATAAAAAAGCAATAATATAAATAGTTTTAATTAACATTAAAAAAAATTAAAGATTTTTTTCTAAATTCTCCTAATATAATAAGTTCCAGTTGTCAACGAAATAATAATTACTTAATGACATAATTCATTTTGTTAACAAAAAGGCAACATTTTCAATGATGCCTTTTTTATCATGCGACAATGAGAAAAACTGTAACTTTCGGAAGCATAAAAATGACTTAAATAAATTAATTTTAGTGCTAAAGGTATATTTTAAATAAACGTTCATGTGTCTACATCAATATTTATTCGCTAAAAGTTGAAGAAAAATAGAATATATATATATATATATATATATATATATATATATATATATATATATATATATATATATATATATATATATATATATATAAATATATAGAAAATATATATAGAAAATTTTAAATAATAAGCAAAAATGAAGACAATCATGGATGGTTTTACATCATTTTATAGGCATGTCTATCTTACCGTAAAAATGAAAGAAAGCAATGTCATAAAAAAAAATTCAAAAGATTATAGACTTATCTTATCTAACCTTACACTAGCAGATAAAATTATGACATAATTATACTAAATTGAGCAGCTGTGACTAATTAGTTAGAGTTCTGGCTCAGAACCAAGAGACCAGAGATTCCACACAGCTTCTAGCCCAATAAATAACAATGGTAAAGAAGGAGGCGTGAACTTCCTAGTTAAATCATATTCCGCTCTGTAAGCACTTTTGGGAACACCTTTAATAACCACACAAAATAAAAAAATTTATATAAAATTTTTTTAAAATCATTAATTTGGTAAAGAAGTCAAAGTGTGACAGAGAAAAGTTTTGGCCATGGCAGAGTGGTTCTAACCCAATAACTGACATTGGTAAAGAAGGAGGGGTGAACTTCTTAGATAAATGCTCTTTCGTGATGCTCTGTGATATGATTGTAAGAACTTATAGGGGCATTTTAATAACCACAAATAACAATAAATAATATGCAATTAAAAAAAAGTCGTTTATTTCGTGAGAAAGTCAAGGTGTTAATTATGAGATATTACTTCATATTGCCTTGAAATAATGCATGTTTCAGTAGCTGCATTGAAATTAATTGAAAATAATTTTTTTTTTTTTTTTTTTTAATTCTTAAGATATTTGTTTTCAGGTAAAAGTTTTTTTTTTTTTCTTTCAATATTCAAGATATTTGTTTTCAGGTAAAAGTCAGATTTTTAGTTTCATAGTATTTCAGATACAAGGTAATAACTATCTCCAGAAACTTCTGACTATCTCCAGAAACTTCTCCAGAAACTTCTCCAGAAACTTCTCCAGAAACTTCTCACTTCAAAAAGCAAAAAATAAGCTTCTGGATGAATTAGCTCAATTTGATGATCATGCATAAGCAACTTGTTTTGATCCATGATGGGCTGAAAATCAATATTTATCAATAAGTGATGTTCCATTAAAAGTCAAGAAAGGTTTAGTTGCCCTCATAATAAACAAAATATAATAGGTATAAACAAAAAAAAAAAGTTTTAGGTACAAACAAAACAAAAAAGTTTTAGGTATAAACAAAACAAAAAAATTTAGGTACAAACAAACAAAAAAAAAGTGTGAGTATCTTAACAAGTGTTGAGCATTTTTAAACTCTGTGTTGTTTAAATATCCGAAAAAATAATGTTCAAATATTTGAAGTAAATTTCAGATATTAAAAAACAACATATTTTAAAGTAAACTTTTTAATGTGATTAGAAATCTTTAAAACCTATCAAATATGGGACTCACTTATACTTTGGGGATGTTTGTTTTTAATGGTTATTGAAGCAGTTATAAAACAAGGTTACACATATATCATGTGTAGCCTTGGTCATTTGAATTATTAAAATATATAATAAATCAGGCGTGGATCTTGTATCAAGCTTTGGAAATAAAACCTCCTCCATGGAAGAATTCACTTAGCTTAACTAGCTTGCAATAATCACCTCTATCAAAAGTAATTATAAGGTGCATAAGTCAAAAAAAAAAAAAGTCAAATAGACTCCTTTAGCTCTTTCATCAAATATTAAACAAGAAGTTGTTCTGATTAAAGATTACCGCATTCTACAGCTTGTTTGCCAATCTTATCACAAATCTTTAGCCAGATCTTTTGAAAATTAACATAAAGTAATTTTTGTGGTTCTTAAGTAATTCCAAACAAAACTTCTAAGAAATGCTTCATGTATGTGATACCTACAGAAAACCCAAGTATGTAGGATTTAATGATATTTGCAAGAGTAATTGCTTCATGATATTTACCAGTATTGCAGCTGATTGTATCTGATTTGTAAAAACAAAATCATAGTGAATGTTGAAAATTTCTTTTGTTTGAATTTAGCAGAATTTTATGATGAAAAACATTTTTAATATTACCATCAGCACCATAAAAAAACTAGTTAACATATTAAAAGACTTTTTTAATTAATAATTGTATCTTTCACAAACACAAACACAAACACTTTTCTGTAGTTCTAAAAGAATCTTGTTATTTTAATTCTTTCTATGAAAAACAAAATTAGACTCTAAAACATAAACATTTAAAGCATATTCAGAAACAAAATATTCAGATATTATCGTTACTTTTCTGAAATGACCTCACCTTCTTTTGTAACATTTATATTTTTTTCAGGAAAATCATTAATTTAGATAAGAAACAAAACAGTACCAAGAGTAGAACCTTAGGGTACCCCAGAAGTTGCTGGAAATGAATAAATGTTTTTGCCTTTGAGGATAACTTTGATAAAGCAATTCGAAAGAAATGATTTAATAATCTTAAAAACTTTTCCAGATACACAAAATGAAGCAAGCTTAAAATGCCATTTTCCAGCAGGAAAGCAAGATTCAGTCAAGCACTTATTAAATAGTTTAGAGAAAATAGAAGAGAGTTTTGAAAATCACTTTTATAAAAAAGCTGTCTTGATCACAAGCCATAGAAGAGTTTAATTGAGATATGACTTGAGCAATTGAAGCTGGAGTGATTTGAATGTCTAACAATGTGTTAACCTGTTTAACTGGGATGGCCATAAGATTCATGAGTCGAATCAGAAATTCTTTGTAAATAGTTCAGCTTAAATCCTTGGAAGAAGTAATTAGATCAGTCCTACAAATGTTGGAATGTTAGACCTTTGTTAATGATAATGTTGAAGATTTTGCAAAAGTCTCTAGAGCCTAACCTCAGAGATAACATAAAAGATTTAGTAATCTGCAAATAATGGAGATTAGCATCAGACAGACCATTTTACATTGATATCCTGCGATAATAATTAGGCATTTATTCTCAAGGAAGTTGTTCTTTTAAAAAAGATAAATAAAAAGATTACATTAAGATATAGCAGCTGCACAAGAAGGTGAAGACCATAAAGTAGAACGAGGCTTGAATTGGAACCTATTAAAAGGCATAAAAGCGTCCTGTATGGATCCAGGAGATTACATAGGAGGTGCATTTAGCATCAGAGAGAAAAGATATCCCAAAAACAGTCACTAAGAAAATCATGAAAAGAGTTTTAATCAGCATTAGAAAAGTATTGAGGTGATGATGATGGTATAGTGAGTCCAAAAAAGAAGTATGAGAAGAAGGCAAAAACATATTAATGCATATTTATACTCCCAAAATTAAGCATATGACTATTGGAGTCTTTGCAAATCAAAGGATAGTACCCATCAATACTGAGATTAGATCAAGGAATAGTATATTTTAAATTTGTAGCACAAAGTGCAAGCAAGTCTGGTGAATTTTACAAGAGGTAAGATTTAATGGAAGGTCACTTCCAAGACTACAAATATTTGTGAAAGATATATTGTAACAGTTACGTTTGGGGATGGTTTTTTTTTGTTTAATATTTTAGGTTACTTTAGGCATTGTTTAAGTTCAAAGAGAACTTGACTCATTCATAGATAGAGCATGGCATCCCGAGCTAAGCAGTTGTTTCAGTCCTGCTAATTAAACCAAAGTTGTAACTTAGGGCTCCTTATGTGGCTTCAACAATGTACACCAAAAGTAATAAAAGGGGCAACACCCATGCACAGCACGGCACTGTTCATACTCTAATATTTTACAGCAGTTAGTGGAGTTTTACAGCAGTTAGTGGCCTCTCTGAGAGCTACCACAAAGTTCTGAAAACCTTACTTTCAGCTGGCCTCAGAACCATTAAACTGAGTTTTAGAACACTATCAAGGAGGCACAAGCAAATATTTATGATT